CACACACACACACACAATCACACACACATAAACACATGAATACAAATATTTACAAAAATCAAACTATTTTAGCTTTAAATAAGACCACAAATTATGATAATTTATTTACCTGTATCTTCTCGGCGATCAGGTAGCTTCACAAAATGTACGATTCCCGTGTCCTGAACTACAGCAAATCACTAGCACCTTCTGGAACCGTGACGTAGAGATGGAGAATTCCTCACCACTGTCAGATAGACGGCCTAACGAAAGACCCTATCGCTCACTCACACACACACGCAGACACAGAGGGACGTGAGTGTAATGTCGTGAGCGGAGGTCACTGTGAATCGTGAGTGCACGCCATTGACGTTATCTTCCTCTGCAGGGATGGGGGAGTCCCGTCTGGTGGCACCCACAACTCACTCTTTGGTTTATCAGTTTATCTCGTCGGGCTCTGCACTCACCTTAGAAGTGGGAAAAAGAAAAATGGCACGCCGGAATAATTACAGTTTAAAAAATAATAAAGTTGTTCCCGCATCCGATCTGGACATTGTGGATTGGCTTGTTAGCGAGACAACTTCCTGGGCCTTCGCATATTGTCGTAGGGTGGCCAGTTCTTTTCCACGCCGCCTTTACTTCCCCAAACTCGAAGTCAGGTAGCCATTACTGCGGGGTGGGCAGGAGGGGGCAAAAAAAATTCGTGTCCGATCCGAGGCTTGAACCAGGGCTTTCGGTTTTGGAAACGAGCTCACTAACCCCTCCGCCACCGCACCTTCATAATTACAGTACTGACCACATTCAGTGAAACGTTCCTCCCACCACTTTAACAGTTATAGATGAAGACACTAAAATTATAAAAATGATAATATAATATTATGAATAGTATCATAGTCTCCCAATGACCCAGATAGCTTTTTATTTTATGGATTCCATAGGGACATTCTATGATATGTATTATAAATTAACGGCTATCAGTTAAGGGATAGCCGTCTGTTTGTTTTTGTGTCATCGTGTATGTGTGTGTGTGTGTGTGTGTGTGTGTGTGTGTGTGTCTGTGTGTGTGAGTGTGTGTGTGCGCGTGCGTGCGTGCGCGCGTGTGTGTGTATGTGTGTGTTTCTTTTTTAATGGACTTTCCAAATATTTTACCTCACAGGTTCACCTGATCTGCTTGTTATCTTCCTAGTTCTGTGTGTTTCACACCGTATTTCCCGGGTCGTCAGTAATTACGAACACATCACGCGCGTCATGACATCGATCCGCCATTGTGTGAGCCCGTGGGTGAGCACCTTCGGACGAGCGAGGATTGATGAGCTGGGAATCTGCCACACACGACCGCTAAAAGCTTTGAGTTTTATTGTTGAGAAAGTTTCATCCCAACTTCAAAGTTATCTGCGAGGTCAGAGCTATTCAGTGGTGCTGGTTGAAACCTTAAGGGGGGCGGGGGG